GGCCCCCTTTGTATATAATGTATATGTACGTTGTAAGGAAAAGTAATCAGGTAATACCTATAAATATAAATAAATAAATAAATAAATAAATAAATAAATAAATAAATAAATTTAATTAATATAATTATTAATTAATTAATATTTAATTAGGAATAGTTTAAATGTATTACAACAACAGCAGCAACAGCAGCAATAACAGCACCAGCACGGCAACAGCAGCAACAGCAGCAGCAACAGCAACAGCAGCAGCAGCAGCAGCAGCAGCAGCAGCAGGAGCATAATATTTACCTCAACTCTTGAGACAAGGCGCACAACAACACTGGGGGCCCCTCGTCGTCTTGGGGGGCCCCCCTCCCTACTGTCATCATTTGTACCCTCTTGGGGCCCTGCAGCAGCAGCAGCAGCAGGGGGGACCCCAGATACAGGAGGGGGGCCCTTCAGGGGAGGGGGGCCCCCCGTAAGGGGGAGGGGGGCCCCCGTAATACAACGAATGGCTTTGGTGCGGTTTATAAGCTCAAGGACAGCAGCAAAAGAGAAGCATGTTGCTGCTGCTGCTGCTGAGTCTGCTGCTGCTGCTCCTCCTCCTCCTGGGGATTCTGCTGCTGCTGCTTCTGCTGGGGGAGCTGTTGTTGCTGCTGCTGCTGCTGCTGCTGCTCCAGTTGGTGGCTGTGCCCTTGCTACTCCTTCCCCAGGACTTTTCCTGGTATCTGCAGCAGAAGAACCTGCAATCGCTGCCTCTGCTGCTGCTGCTGCTGCTGTTGCTGCTGCTGCTTTTGCTGCATCTGCTGCTGCCTGTGCTTTTGCTGCTGCTGCTGCTCTTAGAGAACCAAGAGGCCCCCAGTAATGTGCAGCATTGAATACGAGCTGCAAGCTGCCTATACACCCCAGCTCCCGCGTCTGTGCGGCAGCAGCAGCAGCAGCAGCAGCAGTAGGAGCAGGATCAGGAGCACTTGCTGCAGCATCAGCAGCAGCAGGAGCAGCAGCAGCAGGAGCAGCAGCAGTGCTGCTTGCTTCTTGTGTCTCTATGGAGATTTGTCTGTCTCTCTCCTCTATGAGGAAATTCTCCGTCAAAGACACACCTGTCTTAATGCCAGTTACCTGCAGCAGCAGCAGCAGCAGCAGCAGCAGCAGCAGCAGCAGCAACAGCAGCAGCAGCAACAGCAGCAATTGCGGCAGGTGCAAGTCGTATATACATTTGCTTTACAAAGAAGAAGAAAAATAATACAAGAATAACTTTATTTATTATTTATTAATTATTTATTTATTTATTTATTTATTTATTTATTTATTTATTTATTTATTTATTTATTTATTTATTTATATTCTTACCTTTATATCAACAAAGGTAAGACCCCTTCCTTGTGTCCGCACAGCCTTAACAATTCCCTCTACACAAAGGGGGGCCCCCTTAGACCCTTGGGGGCCCCTTGTAGACCTTTCGGGGCCCCCCGTAGACCCTTCGGGGCCCCCTTTAAACCCTAGAGGGGCCCCATTGAACCCTTGGGGGCCTCCCCCACCAAGATCTCCCTCTTCCCCTGAACTTCTGCTTAAGGCTGTCATTAAGGGGGCCCCTGCAGAGGAATTTGCATGCGAGGGAGAGACGGGGGCCCCCTTCGGGGAATCCTCAAGGGGCCCCTCTAGGGGGCCCTCCAGGGGCACCTTGAGGGGCCCCCCTTCTCTTTTGTCATCATTAGGGTTTCCTTTATTCATATTTAACTAAAAAATAATCATTTTATAATATTTAATTAGGCAAAGAAGGAAAAAGGGAGGACGATTCAGGGTCCTCGCATGGGGGGCCCCTTAAGGGGCCCCCAAGGGGGCCCCCCTGTCGTGGGGCCCCTCAATCCTTCCTGGTGGGGCCCCTGTATCTTATCTGCATAGAAGGGAGAAGAAAATAAGGGAGAAAAGAAATAAATAAACATAATAAATATAATTTAATTTATTTAATTAAATAAGAAGGAAATAGGGATTTAATTACCCTTTATTTAGGGCCCCCCTATGTATATAAATATATATATATTGGGGGGGCCCCCCTGAAAAAGAGGGGTTGTCTTCTTGTTCTTAGGTGTTTATCCTTTTGTTTTATTAATATTTCCCCTAATTGTAGGTAAATTATTATTTATTTGTTTATTAATTAATTTATTTATTTATTTATTTATCTTTATTCCTCTTTTTAGTGGGAAATAGCTGCAGATACACCTCGATTGCCTCTTGTGCATAGATAGAAGGCAAGAGAGCCATTGGTCATTTCTTTCTTTTTTCTTCTTTTTTTCTTTTTTTCTTCTTTTTTATTTATAATATAAATAAATACACCATAAAGTATTTCTTTTTCCCTCTCCTCCTTTGGGGCTGCATGCGCACGCGCTGTGCTTTCCCTCTCTTTGCCTTTATTTCGGGTGTATGCTCACCTCTGCTGCAGCAGCAACAGCAGCAGCAGCAGCAGCACCTCGCTCCTAACAAAGCACACAACAACTCCCTTATGGCCCCAGCTAAGCAGCAGAGGAACAAGCTGCGCAGCAGCAGCAGCAGCAGCAGCAGCAGCAGCAGTCCTTGCACTTCAGAGACAACAATATCTCTCCCTTCTCCTTCAGCAACAATAGCAGCAACAGCAGCAGCAGCAGCAGCAGATGCAAGCAGCTGCTGCAGAGGGGCCCCCACAGAGAGAGGGGCCCCTTCAGAGTCTATGCCAATAAAAAATAACATTCGTAAGAAGAGAGAGAAACCTGTTGCTGCTGCTGCTGCTGCTCCTGCTGCTGCTGCTGCTGCTGTCATAAAAGCAGAAGCAGCATCAACATGTCCAACACCAACAACAACAGCAACAGAAACAGAAGCAACAGCAGCAACAGCAGCAACAGCAGCAGCAGCACCACCATCAGCATCAGCAGCAGCACCATCAGCACCAGCAACAGCAGCAGCAGCAAGAGCAGCAGCAATAGCAGCAGCAGCAGCAGCAGCAACAAGATGTGAATATGATGGTTTGTCTTGGATTGATCTAAAAATTCCTCCACAAGAATTTAAACCCTCAAGGTGTCTCACCACCGGTTAGTTGCTGCTGCTGCTGCTGCTGCTGCTGCTGCTGCTGCTGCTGCTGCTGCTGTTGCTGTTGCTGTTGTTGCTGCTGTAGCTGCAGCAACAGCACCAGCACCAGCACCAGCAGGAATACCACCACCAGTACCACCACCCCTACCACCACCACCAGCAACAGCAGCAGCACCACCACCGCCATCAGCAGCAGCAGCACCATTAGCACCATCAGCAGCAGCAGCAGCAGCAGCAGCAGCAGCAGCAGCAGGAGCATGCGTGTCTATGTGTATATAGGACAGACATTTATGTTTGAATTAATTAATGAAGATTTATACGAAGGAATTATTTATCCTTTTTTATTTATAATTAAACAA